GATAACACTTCATCCATCATGGAATGAGACACCAATTCCAACACAACTGTATATAACACTATCTCCCAACTTAATAACTCCAATATCGAAACCCCCGACGAATTTGAAAACTCCGAGCCCAGCTTATATACATTTTCCCAACCTCTCTTTCAAACTATTCATTCCCAAGTTTAAATTGAACTGCCCTCCCCTCCCTCTTCCATTTCAAATGTAACACCCATATATTCCCTTTTAACCAGTGAACCATCCGATAACAATAGCTCTGTTAATACGCAAATATCACCCGAGCTTGATAGTTTCATAACACTTCAACAACAACTACAGCACCCTCAAACACTAACCATTCACCAACTCTCACAATCTATAATATCATCCAACCCATGAGCCCTAACTCCCTCGTCACACTATACCCCTTCGCAAAACCCAACTTCCTCATCAACCCCATCCTCCAGTACAAACCGAGCTTACCGAACCGTTAAAAGAAAGTTCCCAAATACTCCATTTCCCTCTAACCCAGGTACATCCACAACGTTTGTCAATCATCCACTTCACACTAATACCAAATAATTTCACGAAATATGTTTACCCTTTTTCCCTCAGTACACATTTTTTCATTCAGACCCCATTGACAAAAACCCTAACTATGTAAATGAGCACGTATTATGCCCTACTATTTCATGGATATCATTCTATCACTTTACTAATCCACTCTCACTACCAGTATATATCACCCCTCATGACAACGAACTATGCAGCACCCCCCTCCATTTTCTAACAACAGCACTAACCCCAAAACAATTCACACAGATAGGATACAAGCAATCACTATGCAAATTCACCGCACCCAAATCTAATGAAAATTCTATCGATTACTACGATGATAACATCATACGACCTAACGAAGACATATTTCTCAACGACGACCAATTTGCTAATCCACAACTAACAGAGAAATTTTTCATCAAAACACCACATATTTTCACACTCAACACCTTAGACAAAAAACACGACAACGTCTTTTCAGCAGCACTCCGTGATACTCATGCAAATGATTCATACTTTAACAAATTTAACCACTTTTCACTAGCCATTCATTTCCTCACACCCAAAGAACGTGATTTGCACTGTTCACATGACGTCATGCTACAAACTAAACAAACACACACGTACACTAACTACCAGTTCATCCAACCTCATTACACATCTAACACATCAGCACGACAACTTCACCATAGATATCAATACATCAACTCTAAAAACATCTCACCATTTTTTCTTAATTTCACCTATTGTATTAAAGATACTAACCTACAAGGCATCCTCCGTAACTACGATCCCATCACTCAATTTTATATATTCTCTCCCCTAACCAAATTCTTCAACGTAGACGAATCCCCTACGCGAATCCCTCCAGCCCATTGAAGTCCCAATCCTAGAAATTATACATAACACTCGATATAATCATAAACTTTTTGACCTTATTCAAAACACACCATTTGATTTCTCACCTACCACTGAAGAGCACAACATCATTAAAGCACTGAAGTTGCTTTGCCACTTCTTCAAACCAAACACATCATTCGTTTGCTATCTAAATTACTAACCTCATCAGACATCATCCACGACGTTATTCCCCACGGATTCTTCACCGACGATTAGGTAATATGAACTAAATAAATTAATAACAAATACAAACAAAAATTAACCATTCTTAATATATATTTTCTTTTTTTTTCATAGCCACAATCATCAGTCATCTACAATGAACAAAAGCGAAATAACAAACAGAAAACTTTTTCTAAATTCATGAATTTCTATTTAACCAATTCCAAAAATAAAAGATTTCAATACATTAACTCTAAATCAAATTGCATTATTCAGTAATATTCTCCCGTACAAAGCAAAAAATTAATGTAAAAATTCTTTTCCCCAATGCGGCAAATATTCTTACAATTGAAAATAAATTGATAATTTCATTTCCCAAATCAAGCAGTAAACTCCATAATTTCAAAGTACTAAATTAATAAAAATTGCCCGTAAATTGGAAAAGCAGTCCTAACCTTTTCCAAGAAGCTTCTTTAGATTTGAAATATTCACTCGCCAGCAAATTCTATCCACAATTGCACAGCTCGCCCACTAAGAAGTGTTTAAATTAATGAATTTAAACTTTAACTTTCACTGATAATAACTCTATCCACTATTAACACGTTTCAAATTTTCCTTTAACCCGGTTGGAAAAGAATTATATAATAATGCAAACTAACCAACGCAAACTTACTAAACAAGACAAACCACAACCTAACAGCATGACTAAGAAAAGAAAACCCACGGTACCCAAACTGGATTAACACGAGCTTAGAACTGGATAAATTATTTTTTTTTGAAGAATACTTTTAAGTCTGAACACAAAAGAACAAAACACCAAAAACTCGAAAGACAAACCCAAAACAAACAATTTGATTTTTGAGAAAAAGAAACATTTAAGACAACAAAAGAAAAAACCAGTAATAGGAAAAGCACGAACTAAAACAGGACCCTCCAAAAAAGAGAGCATGAATTTATACCCTCACTCCTGGCCTAACCCACCAGAAGAGGACGTCGTGCGCATGCTCTATAGCCGGCCTCACCCACCGTGCTACACTCACGCTTTGTGACAACACCCTCTATTTTTGACGGGAGTTACTCAAGTGTGAGCAGCTCTTAAAAATAACCGAACTAAATAATAACGCTTTTGCGATAAAAAATAATACAAGATCATGACTAAAAACAAGAATAACAAAGATGTATATAAATAAATAAAACAATGCAGTATATAGGTAACATACAGCCCAAAGAAGAGAAGCAAGGAACTTGACAACCCAATCACACTCCAACTACGGAATGGCAAGACACACCTGACATGCTGCCTACAGTCACTACACTCAACGGATTTAAAGTACGACTTGGCATCGCAGTAAGGGAAATCCATTGCAACCGAACAATGGCCATCTCGATGTTCAAGTATACGTACAGATCCAAGTCACCAGGCACTGCATCCAAAGTCAACTTACATGACACTCCCGAATATGATTGGACCATTGCTATTCTCTAAAATTAACCAGATCAACACTCATCACAACCGATCAAAAATCATAATACGATCTCCCGAAACTATCGTGATGACATCTATCTCTTCTTCCAAACCAGAAAAAAGAATATGCTAGCAACCTCCAAAGAAAAACACCATCATCCGTCCTACCCTACAATAGAACATTGAGAAAGTAAAACTCTCTAAACCCCGGATGGGTGGAACCAGATCTAAACTAGTATCTATCATTGGTTATTTTTATGATATTTTATCTCTATAAAATATTAAATACTAAACAATCATACTCCATCAAACTAACAACCCATTTATTTGTAAGTGTTGCAACTACTTGTAGTTTGAACACCAGAACAATTTGAATTAAACTTAGAATACAGTTGTTCTCATTCTGGAACTAACTCGCGTGAACCGGTGTACATTCGATCTATGGAGACTAGGAGATATAAGAGTAAGATTAAGATTGGTATTAGGCTAAGAAATTACACGAATCTATCCGGCCGAAAATAAAATAGCGTGACCAGCAGACGGTGTACCTTATCTGAAATTACTCTAGGAGTATAGTAATCCGTACTTAACTCAGATGTATGACTGGAATTTAGGTATATTCAAAATTTAGTTATATGTAGTTGTCAAAACTTTTTCAAAAATTTTTGATGTTTTTTTTAAGTGTTTGATTCCCAAAATGTCACTAAAAATTCAAAAGTAATTTTACTTGCTTAGACATAAGTTTTCAGGGCTTAAAATAAGCTGTTGTAAGGCTGCTTGCTCGCTTTATTTGCTAGAAATGAATGAAATTTTTTTAGTGTCGTTTCAATCAAGACTGTAGGGGCTATATTTATTATATCACTCGAACCATTCAAATGTTATCCCTGATTTTGCGAGGAAAAAAAGACAGAAAAAAAAAGAAAAAATAAACTAAAACAAATTCGAAACAAAAATGGTCGGAAAAATAAATATCTCTGTTAAGCAATAGCTTGGATCTTCCAATTTTTCTTCATATATATTTACGTATTGAACGTTCTAACTGTTGAAATGAGATTTTTATTTGGCTAGTTTAGAAAAAAATTGTTGAATTACTTCCAGTCTTCTTCACAAATTTTTCACATTGTTTTGGCATTAGGAAAACATCTTAGTGTGGAGTAAGCTAAGAAGTTTTCCTAAGGCCAAACAATGCGACAAATTACAAGCCAAAAAAAACTTCACTCACCACAATCTCCCCCACTCTCCCACTCTTACTCATGACACATATTTACCCCAATCCTTTCAAACAATTATGCCCCGAAAGATTTTGGCTGTGTTATTTTGGGCTGTTGAATGTAATAGAAGGGGGGGGGGGAGGGGGTTTAATGTGGGAAGCGTAGGTTTGAGGAAGTGGCAAGTGTCTCTTGTCTGTGGGACTGTGGGGCAAATTTGGGGTGAGTATGACACAAAGTGCTGGGATTGTTGGAAGAGGGGTTGTTATACCCCCACCCCCTTCCTCTAGAAAGATCAAAAATGAAAATGAAAATTTTAAAAACAAAATGGTGTCAATATTAGTAGGAAATGCTAAATAGTTAAATTGGATGATCAAAAAGATGCTTTTTCTAGTTTAATTGCTTTACGCATTTTCATATTTTATTTTTCTAGCTTTTCTAGCTTAATTTAACGCTCGAGATATGCATTTTTAGTTTAAATAATTCAATTTTCTACAAAAAATGCACTTTAATTTTTCATCATTTCGGGGATACAACCAAAAATACCCCTACATTTAATTGCAAAACAGATCTATTAAAGGAGCAAAGTTACGAAAAGCTAATGTCTATTTGAGATTTGAGATTCTTTTACGACGAAGGTTTTAAGCTTATTTTGATTTGTTCTTTCCTACCTTCAATTTTTTTAGAACATTTTCGAAGAAATTTTGAATCGTCCGTTTTAGAGCTTCCTCTCCGCTATGTGGTACAATAAGGCTTCCACAATTCACTGCATCCGATTCTGAAGATCAACAGCTATTCATTCTGGAAACAAAAGGACGAATTCATCTGACAGGGCGCCAGAGCTGCTCAGTTGAATCTGCCGCTGTGAATTCTGGACTGAAAGTCAAGGTCATTTTCAAATCATCTTATCTCGATCTATCGAAGAGTGATAGTCTATGCAAAATATACCACGCTAGAACAAATGTCAGCTTCTATACTCTCAATTTTGAGGAGTTTTTCAAAAACTCGCCAGTGGAAGGAATCAAAAGCAGGATTGCGAAATCCAAGGTCAGCTTCACCGATTACAGCAACGTTCTCAGATATCTTTTACTGTACAAGTATGGCGGCTTTTACATGGATATTGATGTGCTGGTGATGAAATCTTTGTCCAGGCTGGAGAATTTTATTCCTATCACAATGCTAAAAACTGAAATGCTGTAAGTGCAATAATGTAAAAACACAAAATACTGCCCCCAGCGAGGTTCCATGAATAGGGCGGGGTGGGGGGGGGCGTAAGGGTCTGTGCGGAGAGTGTAGGTGTGTGGGTTGGGTGATTGAAGGGCAAGTGTGTGTGCGCTAAATATCCTTAGGATGAATTTAAAACCGAAAAATCAATAACAATTTCGTATTCTCGGCAATACAAAATTAATCGGCATAATTGATAATTTCATCCAAAACTTGCTGTAAAACAAGTTCATAAACTCTCCAATGATCGGCTCCGATAATAATTTATTTTGGCGCAAGCTAGCCACAAGAACCGGTAATGTCCTTGAGGCAAATTGCTCTTTTTGACGGTCAGCCATAATCAAGGCTGAACCGAATTAGAACCAAGAACAGTAAAAAAGGTTCAAATGGGTTCTACATAGATGAGGGTCTGTGGAAGGAGGATTCGAACCCGCGCCAACTGGCAAGTCTGTAAATAGTACGTTTGGAATAGGCCGCTCCTGCGCTTTTGTGTAGTTATATTTTGGTTCAATCATATTCAAGTTCGTCTACATGCATTTATACTCTGGCTTACATTTGCGCTGCAACATCCTCCCCCCTGAAGATGGAAGAACCGGAGCGAGCTTAACGTCCGACCGCGTGACTTCACGGGTTGCGGTATTAACAAGGGCGTATCGGGCGCAACCGTCCTGTCCGTAGTTTAGCTTGTCGATTCGGCTGAGGGGGTAGTACCCACGCGGATTATCGGCCTCGATCACCCATACGAAATCGCCTGTCTTAGGAGTGAAGTTAGATTGAGTTTGCCACATGACACGCTTATTCAGTGAAGGAACATATTCGCGAAGCCAACGAGACCAAATAGCGGTAGCATACGACTGCGCTCCCCAGGTAAAAGCGAAGGAAGGCTAGTTGCATGCTGTCCAAGCTAAAAGTAGTTAAACACATCGACTCATCATGCACCTCTCTTCCTGAATACAGAGTGTAGATTCACGTAGTGGCCGAGCGTGTAGATTTGTTGCTGCAACCTCCCGCACTCGGATGCGGCCTAGAGGTAGGTAAATTCGCTCGAGATAAGCTATCCTAGAGGTATGAGACCAGTAATTTCCTCGCAAAAACAAATAACGTTCACGTCGAGAGATTTCAGACCAGTAACCTCCTGGTACAAACAAATTACCTCCTCGTCCAGAGGTTTGAAACCAGGAGTCGCTTCTGTGTACTTATGAATCCATTCTCTGCAAATCTCTTGAAGCGTATATAACGGTGAAGCTCGTGTCGGCAAACTATCAAATAATCAGGGTACTGACGGTCCCTTGTGGGGCGCCAAAATGTGCGCCAAAACGTGCTAAAAATCCGTACGATGAAAATAAAACCGAAAAATCAGTAATAAACTTGTATTCTCGGCAATACAAAATTCATTGGCAATATTGATAACTTCATCCAAAATTTGCTGTAAAACAAGTTCATAAACTCCCCAATAATCGGATCCGATTGTAATTTGTTTCAGCGCAAGCTAGCCTTAAGAACCGGTAATGTCCTTGAGACAAATTGCCCTTTTTGACGGTCAGCCTTAAACAAGGCTTAACCGAATTATAACCAAAAAATAGTAAAAAACTGTCAAATAGCGCTAAAGCCCCTCGGGTCTACATGTTTTAAGGTCTGCCTATGGGGGGTTTGAACCCGCGCCAGCTGACAAGTCTGTATATAGTACGTTCGGAAGAAGCCGCTCGGCCAGCTGCGCTAATGTGTAGTTATTTTTTGCTTCAATCATATTCAAGTTCGTCTACATGCATTTATACTCTGGCTTACATTTGCGCTGCAACATCCTCCCCCCTGAAGATGGAAGAACCGGAGCGAGCTTAACGTCCGACCGCGTGACTTCACGGGTTGCGGTATTAACAAGGGCGTATCGGGCGCAACCGTCCTGTCCGTAGTTTAGCTTGACGATTCGGCTGAGGGGGTAGTACCCACTCGGATTATCGGCCTCGATCACCCATACGAAATCGCCTGTCTTAGGAGTGAAGTTAGAATGAGTTTGCCACATGACACGCTTATTCAGTGAAGGAACATATTCGCGAAGCCAACGAGACCAAATAGCGGTAGCATACGACTGCGCTCCCCAGGTAAAAGCGAAGGAAGGCTAGTTGCATGCTGTCCAAGCTAAAAGTGGTTTGGGTTAAAGCTTCTAACTCGCGTGAATCTGTACTAAGGGGAGTGATTGGCCTCGAATTCAAAGACTGCTCAACTAAGCAGAGCGTTTTACCTAACAGCTCTTCAGTAATTCGCCTACTGCCTAGTATATCGTAAAGCACGCGCTTCACGCTTAGGACGAGCCGCTCCCAAGAGCCGCCATGATGTGGTGCGCCTGGCGGATTTTCAGAGAAACACTTTTCTGTGCAAAAATGGCCGGAGCCATGTCGTTTCAACTCTTGATGCGGGCAAGTAATTCTTTTTCCGCACCAACGAATTTCGTGCCGTTATCCGAGGAGATCGTGCTTGGTGTATAACGACGCGCAATGAACCGTTCAATGCCCATGACACAAGAATTAGTGTTCAGATATGGTACAATCTCAATGTGTACAGCCCTAGTGGTGAGTCAAGTGAAAAGAAATCCCCATCTTTTTTCAGTGCTTCAGCGACCGGGACGTAATGCGGACCAAAGTAATCCACACCCGTATGATTAAAGGGTGGCTGCTTATATCCGAGACGTTCAACAGGCAAACTGGACATAATTGGCTGGATGGTACATGCTTTGCGTTTACGGCATGTTACACATTGATTTTCGATAGACCAAAGTAGTCGGCGCTACCCGAGTACTGCATTTTTCATGTTTAAAACGGAGCGCATGTAATCTAAACCTCAATGAAAATGCTTATGGTGGAGGCTAAGGGGCTCAGCAAGCGAACTAGGGTATGCCGGGCGTCGATTAATACTGGGTGTTTAGTATCAAACTCGCTATTAAATAAGCAAACGATCCAGCAGGTGGAACAAATTATACCAGCGAAACCGAAAAAGGGAGAGTGTATGGCAATTTTTCTAGTATTGTTAATAGGTTTGCCAGTGGTGAGTATTTCAACTCAACGGGGAAGGATTCCATCTGAGCAAGGTAAAATAGTTTGTTTTCTGCAATATCAAGTTCAGTGAGGTCAGTGATCCGTAAGTCCTTACGCGGAAATGCTTATGTGAAGGCAGTATCCTCAACATAAAGGCGACAACTCTTTTATATCTCGTAAAGGAAATAAGTGTTCGAGATGTTTGATGGATGTGATATCGGTGACGAAGGAAGATGGTGTCTCCAAGCAATTATCGACTTCACAAGAAGGACCCTTCAAACGGTTTTTTTTATCACACTTTCGTCGGGTTAAACGGCCAATCAGTAGTCCTGAGAATGCTCGGTCCAATAACGCAGCTGCTATCCTTGACGGCTTCCAAAGAAATCCCCCGCGTATCAATATCAGTGGGGTTATCGCCGCTCAGAACATGGTGCCACTCATCAAAAGTGGTCGTTTTGAGGATCTCGCCGATACGGTTAGCGAAAAAATCCGGGTAATTTGTCACTGGAGTTTAGCCACTGCAAAACTTTAGTACTGTTTGTCCATGTGTAGACTTGATTAATGTTAACGATAAGTGCTGTCAGTATATCATCTTTCAGTCGTGTGGCGAGCAGAGCAGCTTGAAGCTCTAGCTACGGTATTGTGAAAAATGCTTATTTGATACGTGATTTAAATCCTTTCTTTGAACAAATTAACTATACCGTAGATCACAAAAGATAGTGTTTCGGATAACATCCGAAGGTGTCAAACACTCCGAAGGCCAAACACCTGTCAATGATGTCTAGCAAAAGAAGAACTGAAATGATTGACAAGAGAAACTAGCAAGAACTAAATAATAACTCAGATGACTAATTTAGCACTATGACTTTCCCTCTTGTATGCATGGATTTTATTGAAGTGAAATTTAGGTACTAGATGTAAAGTTTTGAAACACAAAGTTGTGATTGACCCCACCGATACTAGCTCACAATTCCCGAATTAAGGTTTATAGTAATGAACGATCAAGTACTAAGTTTTTAAGGTTATGTAACAGTTTTTAGTTTGTTCAAAAGTTTTTAACATTTTTCTCTTGGTTACTTCACCTTTCTCCCCGAACAAACTCCGCTTCACTCACTTCACTCGTCTTCATTTTCCTTCTTGCCGCCGCGTGAGATATGCTCGATCATAGGTTTCCGACACCGCCTTTGGCATTTTTGCTCCTTCGTCGTCCGCCGCTCCTTTATTTATCGTTTTCTTGCGCGATTTCTCGTTTCCTGTTTGTGCGCCCTTCGTACTTGTTGTGGCCTATTGTTCGGTGAATGCCAGCTCGAGAACCGCCCGCTCCGTATCCTCCTGTTTAATGTTGATTTTTGGATATACCTCACACCAGTTGCCACCAGTTGCTTCGATTTGCCTTCCCTCTCTGCTACTTCCTTTCCGATTTGTCCCGCCGCTCGTCGTTTCCCATTTTCTCGACTCAGCCAGTTTTTATCATAATCCAGTCGGCGCTGAGGATTTTGTTAACCCTGCGACACGTTTCTTCGCCGTGCTCAATTTCCGTATCGCAACTTCGGATTTCCTAAGCAAGCTACCATTACTCATTTTAAGCGTATGCCAGCTTTCCGCCACAACTTTTTTTCAAAACAGTATGTACCTGCTTAGGTTTTTGTTTCCGGTATGCTGAACGACTATACAAAGGGATCCTGCTGTTGGCTCATCTGCTTGGTCCAGTGTTTGTGCAGTTGATAGGGTCAGTGGGTGGTTTCGGGTCTTGTTCCCCCATACTGATTGTCCGACCTCACACCCCGAAATGGTGTCGGCCGGTTTTGACATTCCTTGTACCTCCGGATCTTGTTTATCTATACAAGCAGATTTAGATTTTAGGACATTAGATTAATTCAAATTCCTGAGCGATGGTTTTTTGGTTAAACTTCGAAGTACTGTGTTCGCTTCCTTGCCATGGT